ACGGTGGGCCAGAATTAGGGACTATTCTTCTGCAGTAGACGGTTGAGCGGGACTCGTAAGTCGTGCAGCGACAGTAGGAAGGCGCTATAGTAGCTTATCAGGCCAAGAAACGATCGACGTTGTGATAAATCCTTTGGTGCAGGCATCCATTGGATGGCACGAATATTTTCGGGCTCTGGATGGCAACCACTGGCGTCAAAGATGAATCCAAGGTACTTTATGGACTCATGGAAGAATTAGCACTTGTCGGCCCGCAATCGGAAGCCATATTCCTGCACGCGTCCAAGTACTGTGCACACTCGGTCTTAGAGCTCAGCCGGGGAGCGACCTATGATGGTGATGTCGTCCAGGTACCCAACCGTGCCAGGAATACCGGAAAGCATTGCGTTCATAGTTTGCTGGAACAGGGCCGGAGCGGTCCTGACACAAAAGGGTAGCCTGGTGTACTGGAGCAGACCGCGGTGTTTGTTTATTGTGAGTAATTAGCGCGACTCTGGAACGACTTCGATCTGCAAGTATCAGTAAGATCCAACCTGGAAAAGCAAGAGCCCCCCCTTCAGCAAGGTAAACAGATCAGCGGGAACCGGCAGTGGACAGCAGTTCGGCGTCAAAGGGGCGTTGAGACCGGCTGAAAAATCGGCGCAGATATGAATCGAACCATTCGGCTTCTTGACCACAAAAATGGGGGCAGCCAAGGCGGAGTAGAACAAAGGTGTCAGGACTCCAAGTTACTCCACGCGGTTCAGTTGAGCATCGAAATAAGCAGAGCTGTATATGGAACTGGTCTCTTTGGGCGAAAGAATGGTTGACTTCCAGGACAGAGATAAAGCACGGCTTGAGATTAGAATTGGTAATGTAGCGGGTAGCAGTAATGTTAGCGTCGCGGAAGGAGACACAGCGTTGCAGTTGCCCCAGTAACTGGAAAAGGCCACCGCACGCACTTGTGGCGGACGGAGACGTCTGCTGCATTGTGGGGGTGCCAAGTGACTGCCAGAGAGTCTAAGAGATGACTGATATCTGAAGCGGTGTCCAGTTGTAGGCGAACTGTGTGGCCGTTTAGAAGTAGATTAACGAACTTCCGGCGATCAACTGCGTTAACCTGGAATGCGACCGACAGACTCATAGAATTTCCGACAGCCTGCGTCTTTGACTTGCTTTTTGAGTTAAAGCGGGGCTTTTGTTTGGAATTGGCGGGAAAAGCTTGCCTACAGGAGTTGAGGATTGGCAGAACCCATCATGGTGCCCCACCTGGTTACATTTTTGGCGGCGATGTTGCCGAAACCTGGCGTTTCGATGGAGAGTTTGCCACGAGAGACGGTTGGAAGTGGCATGCATGCAGCCGCTGAGGCAATCAGTTTTAGTTCTTACTTGGCAACCGGTACGATTGGCTGTGACTCAGCGGCTGTATGCAGTTTAAATTTAGGATTATTGATTCCTTGATTGTCTGTATGCGTTCGGCTCGTGTAGGCCGATCGATAGCTTGCTGTGAGTGCGGTCGCTTGCTGCATGCACCCAACATAACCAAACTCAGACTAAATGACGTCATTCTCTAATTTGACGCCTATAAACTGTTCCCGTACGGAAGAAACGACTGCAACTGCAATAGAAACGAAAAAAACTGGTGACAAAAGAAATGGTGCAGCAAGTAGGCATAAATGTCACCAACAAGTAAATTGTGCTTAGTAACAAATGGGACATGCAAGTTGTACTCCACTATCCCTCCTATCCACTACACTGCAGGTCACATAGTATCTGCCCGTTTCTTCCATATTTTTCTTTATTTATTTACTTAGTGTACTGTAATGGAACGAGCTGACGGTGGAAAAACTCCTGATATTTCTTTGTAGGGGTTTTCATGAGCAAAAACTGCAATTTGTTGAGTCATTGAATTTCGAGACGGGGAAGGCTTGACACGTGAACACAGTGTTCTCAGTTTCCCTTGCGTGTTATGGATTCGGTGAAAGGTTGCTCGCAGTCGGTTGAAGAATGGGCCTATTGCAGGCTGCAGATTCAGCACAATCACCCTCAGCATGACACCTGGCAGAGTTCAGATTTCGTGAACGTCATCAGAGTGGAAGAGAGATTCCACCGAGTCAGCACCAAATTCGTGAAATTTCTGAATGTAGAACACAGGTGGCAACTCTCTTAAACAAAGAATAGATTGGCTGAATTTTGTTACTTCTGTATAGTTTATTCCAGATTTCTATGGCGTTTACTGAAACAATTGGCAGTATCTAGCCGTGCGTGTACTATATGTATATATATATGCATATGTATTTATGTATATGTATATTTAAGGGTTACAGGCAAGAAATGCCCTTGAGGACCCTATTAATGTAAAGCAAACGATATCATTCTTACAGTTAATGTGCAGTTGTTGGAGGACATATGATACCATGACAGAATTTCGAATGAATTTTCACGAAGCAGTATGAAAACAGTCTAGAGCCAGACAAATTGTTTACAATGCTGGCAGTAGGAAATCGTGTTGTAAAAGTCGCTTTTTTTCAAATAGAATGAAATCGAGTCTTCTTTTACACTCCGCAAATGTGTCAGCGGAAACCGTCTCGCTTGGTAGCAAGTTCCAAGGTCGGATCACGGAAGAAATATTTTTGGAGGTCTAATCGACTGCGTTTTTTGTTACCTTGTAAGGATTGCCATGCAGGGGAGTTGTGTCGGCTAATTCGAAGAAATCCTCCAATTTCAGGGAGGAACAGTGGCCCCGGATTATCCGGAATGTCCAGAGCAGGCTGCACTGAACG